CTCTGAAGGTGAGAACCTAGCATCAACATTCGCCTTAGAAATTCATTGCTCTCGAAGAAATGTCAATTTCATACGTTGATACGACCCAGGAAAGTTGGAAACCCCACGGTAGTAAGGAATAGGCAAGTGGTTGCAGGAGTGGGCGCTTCAGTATCCTTTCGTTCGTCATCTTAAGCGGTGTTGGCAAAGGAGCAAGTCACCGTACCCAATTAGCAAAAAGACTATAGCAAAAAACTTCTTGAATTGCAACGAGTCTCGAGGAAACAAGTCCTATTCCCTGGACATTCCCAAACGCCGGCGCTGAATATGCTTTAATCGTCCTCCCCAACTAATCCTTGCAACACCCATCTGACACACCATCTCCAACAGCTACTTCTTTTTATCCGTATTCATACAAACGCTTCAATGTCCAATACCGCCAGCGACCCAGTTGTTCCATTCCGGGTTGCCAGGTGGAGGGAAAAGGCCCTGATCTTGCTGTTGCGCTGCGGCAGGTTGACCCTGCTGCCCCTGCTGTTGAAGTCTCTGCGCCTCCTCCTCCCTTCGATGCTGCTGCTGCCTCTGCTGCCTGTAGTAGAGAAGAAGCACCAGGGACAGGGCGAGGAAGACGATGATGAGGCTCTCGGCGATGCCGTCGTCCTCCAGCGGCACGCCGTCTGGGCCCGTACCGCCGATAGTATCATCAAAGATGTCTTCATAGTACGGGTCGTCATAGAACAGTTGGTCGTCTTGAAGGAAGTTGGCAATCCACTCGCTGAGTGACCAGTCCTTCTTTGGTTCTAATGTGTGTGGTTAGCCGATGTGTATCTCGGTGAATGCGCCGTGTTGACTTACTAGGATCGTCTTGGATTGAGTGAATCGGGCCGTGGGTGAACGTGTTCCATGCGCTTCGGAGGCGGAGCTTCAGTAGACTCAAGGTGACAGGAAGATAAGCCTCCTCATTGACCTCGAGCGCTTGGTCGTAGTATCTCTTGGCCAAGTGGAAGTCTTGGGTCAGGCCAATGCCATTTTCGTGCATCCAACCAAGGTTCCAAAGGGCCTGGGCACTCTGCGAGTAGTCCGAGGCGCCCGTGTAACACTGAACGGCCTTGTTGACGTCCGGCTCGGAACCAATTCCGTGGAAGTAGTAGTCGCCCATCTTGACCTGAGAGTCCACGTTCGACTGCCTGGATGACCTCGTCCAGTACATGAGGGCGAGTCTAGGGTTGTTGAGTAGGTTGGGGCGGGTATGCTGCTGAAGACCGAACCACTCGGGAAGCGGCAGCCAGTCGGGTATTTGGAGTCGTGACTGGACAGGATCAAGAATGAAAGCGACGTTGTTCTGCGCGCGCTCATATCCTTGCTCTGCTGCCATGACGTATTCCAAGAAAGCGAGCTCCTCGTCACCGTAGTAGTAGGCTTGGTTCGCCTCGGCCCACGAGGAAACAAGCGGCTCGGCCTTTTCGGCAACGTTTTTGTAGTAGCCCAAAGCCATCGCGCACGTCTTGTCGCGGCCCACGCCGTTGTATACCATCTCAGCAAGGTAGTAGTGAGCCTCGATCTGGCCATATCTGGCGGCAAGCTCGAAGTAGTTATTTGCAATGCGGACGTCCTCTGCGCCGCCCTGGTCCAGGTAGAGCACGCCCAATTCGATCTGGGATGGCGCGTAGTCCTGTTCCGCTGCCGCCTTAAAGAGGTCGGTGGCCATGGCAACATTCTTTGGCGTCCCGTACCCGTAAAGCATCATGAGACCGAGTCCATGCTGGGATTGGGCATCTCCGTGAGAGATGCCTCGCTCAAACCATCTCTTTGCTTGATCAAAGCTCTGGTCGACACCATCACCACGCAAGTACATGCGGCCAATGAAGCCAGCCGCCTTACTCGCCGTCTTCTCGATACCCTGCTTATGGTTTTCGATGATACGGCCGTCCTTACGCCAGTACCGTTTCGCTACAGTGAAGAAGTACTTGCGAGCAAGGTCCAGATCCCGGTCGAGACCCCTCTGCCCCTCGTAGTAGATCCTTCCAAGGTTGTAAGATGCCTTGGCGTCGCCCTTTTGCGACATGAGATCGAGGTACTCAATCACATCATCAATGGCGGCATTGGCGTCGGAGTTGGGGCTCACTTTGATGGCGTTCATACCGGCACTCGAAGCGCTAGCACCCTCGCCGTAGACACCGCCAAGCTCATCAGCGATACGATACGACTCAACCACCCAAGCCATGCCGCCGGGTGGGCCCGAACGGTACCAGTCCATTGCCTTGTCCGCAACTCTCTTGTAGTACTTGCTTGCAGCCTCGCAATTCTTCGGCGTCGCAATGCCGCTGTGATGGCGGTAGCCAATGGCCATTTCCGCGCGTGTGTCGCCCTGCATCGCTGCAAAAGTGTAGTAGAGGAGCGCCTTTGCCTGATCGGGAGCAACAACATGGCCAATGCCAGTTGCATAGTAAAGACCAATCATGTACTGTGCCGTGCGATTTCCGTGGACCGTCGCGAGGGTGTGGTAATGATCGAAAGCAACCTTGAGGTCTCTCGGGTAGGTGTAGTTGCCATAGAAGTTCATCTCCGCGAGAAGGTACAGCGCGTCCGTGTTGTTTTTCAAAGCAGACTGTTCCAACAGCTTCACAGCCTCCAACAACGGACCTGTGACCTTGGTCTCCTGTGTCTGGTGGCTACCAGGAACAGGTGCAGCCTTCAGGCTGGGCACGACTTTGAGGGCATATCGGAGCACGGTATAGACGACAGTATAGCGGCGTTCACGTCTGGGGTAGGTTCGGGGTGGTAGCTTGATCAGTTGTTCGATTGCGAGTTCGACTAAGTCCGCTCCTATGGGAAATCAGCTCTGTTAACCGACATTCCCCCCACCATCGCGAATAGTGTACATACCGGGCTGCCTCGGAGGTGGGGTGTGGTGTTCCGGGATAACATCCGTTTGTACTTTCGCATGCTTTCCTTCGCTGCTGTCGTGATTCTTTTCGTAGTCGTTCAAGACCTTTTGCTCGTCGACACAGAATACAGTTGCTGCCTGCAACAGCACTTGATGATATGTCAGCTTACGTTCAGCCGTTTGGATTCAGTGACTTTTAACTTACGGCCTAGCCAGAGCAAAGAACGCCTCATCTCGAACGGTAATTATGTGCCAAATTCGAGCGCAAAGTTCCGCGACATGTTATATCTCACAGATATGCGGTGTCGGGAGAGGGTTTGTTGGTATTCCTAGCAATTACGCAGCTCGATGCTTTCAGAACAGCTGTCCTGGCTTTAGGTCCACGTAGATGGAATTGGGAGCTCCAAATGAACAGGGATAGTCCACTAAACGAGACTTGATTGGTCGCTAACTTAGCCGGACGCCAGGTACGCAATACCGCTGTAAGCGGGCACTAGTTCTGAATGCTGCGTACTTGTATAACGCGGGGGTTTGCATAAAAACGCTTCTCCATTGACCAGTCCTCCAATACGCTCACTGGTGATTCTTGCTCAAGTTTCTACGAATTTCATAATCTGCAAAATTTCGATCTCAGCCGGGTGGAAGTGATAAGGCGGGCGGAAATCTTCAAACTTGTCAAGACCATAGAGGAGAGGTCAAATTTTGAGCTGTCTAAACTGTGTACCATCGACGCTCAGTAAGTAGTTGCAAATCTCAGTTTTTGGTCAAGGGTCCATGCTCATATAAGCCGTGCACCAAAGGTCAAGGTGCCGTGAAAATGTACAACCTATCTTGCGTTGACGGCCATAGATTTGGCGATGTCTATGTTCTCGACATTCAGCGCCTCAACGCTGGTCTGTCCGCCATCTCATCAGATCAGAAACTCAGTCTCTTCGATCCCGCACGAGTGGGACAGGGTCCGATCAAGTCATACCAGACCAACCATGGCAACTTGACATGCCTTAGGACTTTTGACTGGCAAAACTCTATCGTTTGCACGGCGGGAGAAAATGGGGAAGTCTCAGTCTGGGATATGAGGGAAGCGTCAAAGCCGCAGGTCGCTCATTTTGCGGGTATGTTTTCTCGCTCTGAAATATCTAACGAATCTCACTAACACAACGTTCAGCTACTCAGTCGCCCATCTTGTCTATGGCTTGCGACCCTAGGAGCAACACAATAGCACTAGGCACAGAGTTCCAGAACCACACCGCATCCGTGCTACTCTGGTAAGCCTTCCTTGGATCACGACTACCCACCCCCGCCCGATTACACAGAACTCCTGACACATCCATAGGGATATCAGAGCCGGCCCGAAGCAGAGGCTCCAGTACGACGAAGTCCACAGTGACGACGTCACAGAACTCCGCTTCCACCCTTCGGAATCTCATATCCTCCTCTCGGGATCGACCGATGGCCTCGTCAACGTCTATGACACACGAATTTCGGACGAAGATGAGGTCGTTGTCCAGACGTTGAACCAGGGCTCTGTCCACCACGCCTCCTTCCTCAGCAACACCGAGGTCTATGTGCTGACTCACGACGAGAAGCTGGCCGTGTACAGCGTCGCGGAGGATTGCGGCTCTGGCGCGGCTCTAGTAGACTTTGGCGACGCAAGAGAGACACTGGGCTGCCAGTACATTGCCAACATGACGACAAAGGTTGACGGAAGCGGTGCTATCGTCGGTGCGGGCTCACAAGAGTAAGTCTTGTTGACGAATTGTTCCCAATGTTTGGCAGCGTAACTAATAAGTGAACCAGCCGCCAAGTCTTTGAGTTGGTACACCTGTCCCGTACCGCCGAAGGTAGCTGGGGCTTCGATAGGGCGAACAGCGTCGGTCTGCCGGGGGGCCACGGCGAGGAGATCGTTCGCTCGTTCTGCTTCTACGATGACGAACAGGTTGTCTTCACTGCTGGAGAAGACGGTAACATCAAGGCTTGGAGGCCCACGTAGGTTAGAGAATCGAAGAAAGCAAAAGTAAAAAAAAAAATAGAACTTGAGAACGAAAGTGAATTGTTTTACGGCTATGCTGCTCATTGCGTTTGGGTATCATGGTTTCCCCCCTTTTCGTGTTGCCAAAGAAATTCATCCCCCGAGTTAGCCATACTTGTCGTGCTTTCCCTTGACCTTCAACATTAATAACTGCTCATGGTAATCGCCCTCCCTTCTCGCCCTCTTCAACTTCCTGACTTCGTCGTCCTCGAGTCTGCGCCCAACCGCTTGTTCAAGCTCCTTGCGACTAATCTTTTCCTTTGCCTTTTCTTCCTTGTTCGCTTTGAGCCGCGGCTTGAATCTCGCTTGCATCCTGATACGCCACGTGGTGTTGAATGTGATGGACTCTTCGTCGCCTCTGACGTCCGAGGTGGTAACATTGGGTTTCGGCGGCTTGACGGAGAGGAAGGTATCGCGTAATGTCTGGACTTGGAATGTGCCAGGGGTATCCGCCGTTGCAATGATGTTGAAAGACTCTAATGGTGAGACGGCCGCCGATGTCGCTGACAGCACGCCGTTCTTGTCGCATCCCAGATATCTGTGGCTCGTTAATACATGGCTCCCGTCGACAACCTTCTGCAAATTATTCTTACTGTCCGTGATGGCCCTTGAACCTGAACTGCTCCGTCCCTGTGATCCTGTTCGCAACCCACACCTGCCGCACGTCGTGCGGCTCAGCCGTAGACGGGTTGCCATCGACGATATTCTCGATCCCAAGCGTAAATATCTTGCCTACGGCATCGCACGCCAAAGCAGTAGGGGGCTCCGTCGGCAAGACGAACATGACGGGTCCGACAACATCCGTCACGGCATCGGCAGACACCCAGCTATCGTCGTCATCGTCCGCGTTCGTCGTCGAGGCGGAAGCTCCGCCGGTTCGGGCAACCTCCCCGCCCTGCGCGTCGCGGTCCTGGGCCTCGGCTTCCGCGCGCTTTCTCTTCTTGGGCTTCTTGTCGCCCTTGAAAGACAGGGGCTTGACCATCGCGTTGTATCGCTCGTGTTTCGTGTCTCCCCCTCCGCTCGCAGGACTCGATGAGGAAGGTGAAAGTTGCGTTATCTTGATGCGGTTTTCGGCGATAACCGGTAGGCTTTCTTTTTGGCCAATCTTGGGTGCGTGCTTGACCTTTCGAAGTCTGGGAATGGTGATGAGTAGAGTTCGAGGGACGTTTGAACGTTGTGATTACATAAGGGGCTATCTGTGCCCCTCCCCCACCTTTTAGGTACTGACCCGGCAGGTGGTATCGCGGAAGCTTGTCGATGAGCCTACGATCTGGCTGGATTCCTTCTTGTTTCATTCGTTGCTACCTTTAAACTTCTACAACTCAGACAAACACCATGGTTCAGATCGCACAACCGGTGGTTGTGTCTCTCAACGACCTTAAGGAGGGTGAGTACCGTCGAGCAGGATCGTAGGATGGAACGGACAACAGCTTACATGTGAAATTCACATCATAGGCAACATCCCCTTCGAGACTCTGAAAGAGGCCTTTGGGCCCGAATCTCTAGGTATCCTGGTGGTCAAGGATGTGCCGCCAGAGTTTACTCATTTAAGGCACCAGACCTTATCTTACGCATCTTACTTGGGCAATCTCCCTGAGGAAGAGCTGGGTACGATGCAAATTGCTACCCGTCTGCCCACCACTGCTTACACATGAGCAGTCAAGCTTGAGAATGAAAAGGCCAAATACCTGACGGGCTGGTCCCTGGGTAAAGAAACACTCAAGAATGGCCAAGTTGACACATTCAAGGGTTCATACTATGCCAACTGCGCATTCTACGTTGATGCAACTCTCGACTGTGCTAAGCCGACGGCCGAGTTTAACCAGAATAACTTTCCCGAGTACCTCTCGCCAAATATCTGGCCTTCACAAGACGTCCTTCCGGGGTTCAAGCCGAGTGTGGAGAGTCTTTGCCGAGTCATCATTGATGCGGCCGTTTTGGTAGCCCGAGCATGCGACAGATTTGCCGAGTCTGAGATCCCAGGATATACCAAAGGGTACCTTGAACACGTTGTCAGTACATCGAACACGACCAAAGCGCGCCTTCTGCACTACTATCCGCAGACGAAGGAGGCCCTTTCCAAGATTGGTGCAGCCGACGATGACTGGTGAGCCACTGGATTGTGACCGCCTTCAGAAATCCACTAATAGATACAAGGTGCTCGAGACATAAAGATCATGGGTTAGTCGGCCCCTTCTAGCAACGATGCTGCTGGTACTAACACCCTCGGTAGATGCCTGACTGGTCTGACATCTGCCATGTTCATCGACGAGAAGGAGACTTCTACCGTGGTACCTGAAGCCACGAACAATACGATAGCAAGCCTACCACCTTTGTCGGAGCTGGCCGCGTCTCCCGATCCGTCAGCAGGGCTGTATATCGAATCGCGGGGCGGAGAGACGGTACAGGTCAAGATACCGCGGGACTGCATCGCTTTTCAGACCGGCGAAGCTCTAGAGCGCATCACGGGCGGCAAGTTCAAGGCAGTACCGCACTTCGTAAGGGGAGTCAGGGCAGCTGTGAGCGACGGACGCGTCGCGCGTAACACGTTGGCCGTCTTCACCCAGCCAAACCTTGGCGAGGAGGTGGACAATGAGCAACACATAACGTTTGGCGAGTTTGCGCGGGGCATCGTGGCCAAGAACACTGTAACATAAGAGTGTCATCGTTCCGCTGATGAGAGTGTAAACGAAGCATGTCAAAGGTCACAGTCGGCTTGTTGATTGCTCCGGTGTATGTGACTAGTAGTCGAGTGTAGCCGACCCCGATGTTGGATTTGTCAAGATTGTTCGGGGCCACACGGTGGGGTACCCGACAGCAGGGGCCCGGCCGGTAGTCCCGGAGCTCGGTACTTGGTGTTGAAGGGGCCAGTCTATACTCCGAAAGGCAGCTCGGAGCCGTAGCTGTATATTCCAAATGATAGACTTAGAGGACTAGCCAAGCCGAGGCCCAAGAGGCGCAGAACGATAGCGCATGAATTCTCTAGAATTGCGTGATGCTAATGGTGAGTTTCGAGGTTGCTCAGTCAGCAAAGCTTTCGTGCGCTTGCATCATGATTGCAAAACCTCACCTATTGGCAGCTACTCTGTGGACAAGGAGCTCTATCAACACCCGGAAGCTACCCCGCCCCCGCCGCCTGCTCCAATGGGGGCCTTTCGTCACCACTTCTGTCAGGTAAGGTATCCGTATTGCTGCTGCTGGGTCACCTGTAGGTATCTCATATCCCCCAGACAAAGCTCCATGAAGCTCCCCTCGAACGTGTTATTAAACCTGACTCGACGCCCAATCTTTGCGTCGTCTCTATTCCCACTCATCACATCCTCGAGTTCGACGATACCACTCACCAGTAGAAACACTGCCCGCCTCCAACGCAACATAAGCACCACCGCCACATCCCGTTTCCGCTACACATCACCAGCAATGGCCGTACCGCCCAAATTCGCAGCTCACAAGCTGACCTTCGGAGCGGAACCCAAGCCCTCGGCCGACGGCGTCCCCGCGCAGCCGCACACCATCGAGCTCTACCTCGACTACGTCTGCCCCTACTCCGCTAAGCAATTCAACACATTTTACAACGCCGTCGTGCCCGCCATCCGCGCGAACCCGGCCTGGGCCGCCAACCTCGAGGTTATCTTCCGTCAGCAGGTCCAGCCCTGGCACCCCTCGAGCACCTTGGTTCACGAGTCCGCCGTGGCCGTCGTCAAGACCGCGCCCGCCAAGTTCTGGGCGTACAGCGACGCCCTCTTCAAGGCGCAAAAGGACTACTTTGACGCCAACGTCGTCAACGAGCCGCGCAACGAGACGTACAAGCGCCTCGCCAAGCTCGCGGGCTCCGTGGGCGTCGACGAGAAGGCGGTGCTGGACCTGCTCGTCGTCTCGGACAAGCCCGACGCCGAGGGCGCGCTCAACGTCGGCAACGGCGTGACCAACGACTTCAAGGTGCTCATCAAGCTCGCGCGGTTGACGGGCGTGCACGTCAGCCCCACGGTGCTGTTTGACGGGTACCCGAACAACGAGATCAGCTCCGGCTGGACGCTTGACCAGTGGAAGGAGTGGCTTCAGAAGAACATTGTCTGACTTGAAGGGCGGCGGGGTTCGGCGCGGGATCACCGGCTTTGAGACGATGAGGTGCTGTTTGGTGCTCTGTTAGCTAGTAGGGAATCTGGCAGGGTTTCCAGGTTGGATTCTCATAGTAGCGGTCTTCAGTCACGTCAATCATTTAACCTAGCATAGCCAACTTGTGTCCGAGAGTCAATCAAATAAGAAGAAACAATAATTCATGCCAGTTGCAGCTCGTGACGATTAATTGTTATCCTCATGAATTTCGGCGATGTTGAAATGTCGTACACCATCCGGGCGCTGGATACCGATTAAGTCAAGTCGCGTCGCGTGGGGAAAAATTAATTAGTACCAGGGAAGGTAGATGCGTGCAGTGACCTCATCCGACCTCAGCATTCTCATCTCACCATCAACCTCTCACTCTCCCTAATCAACCCATTTCACTCACTCACTCACTCTTCCCCTTTTCCCTTTGGACAACCTCACAATGTCCCTACTGCGGCTCGCCTTCATACGGCAACCCCCACAAACGATACGAACCCTCCCCACGATACGCCAATGCGCTCTCCGTCCTACCCTCCGGAAATCTCTTCTTCAGAACCAGCAATGTAGCCTGAGACGGCCCTTTGCCTCCGCACCACCGCCGCCGACCACGGCCCCCCGGACCGTCACCACACCACCGAAGCCGAACTTAGCCGGCGCCGGAGGCTCTGCCGGTCCCCGGGCCGGGAACCCACGTGAGTAGTAGACCCATTCATACTTCATCTCACTGTCTCTGCACACAAAGCTAACGGTGACCTACTAGAACTGCCTGAGCGACTACTCATCTACCACGCCGGCACCGGTCGGACGGCCTTTCTGGCCTTTTGGAAAATCACCACCGTCTTCTCATGCGTCTTCTTCTGCTTCGTAGCTGCTCCCAGCTACGTCCGCGCCGAAGATAAGACGCTTACTGAGGCAGCGGGATGTAAGCTTCTCACCCCATATCTCACTCACACGTTGACTGCATTCCCATCCCATCATTCCCTATTCTCCTCCTCATAACCTCCCCCTTTGCTACACAAACCTCACAGCATCTGATGTTTCCAAACCATTCTCACATCCCATAAACCATCGCACACATACTAACACCCGATCCAGTGGCCGCCTGCGGCATCATCCCCTTCCTCTTCGTAGCCTACACCTCGGCCCCCTTCGTAACCTACATCTACCTCCGCCTACCCCCCTACGCGCGCCAATCCCGCGCCCTCCTAGAACGCTACGTCCGCACCCTCCCGCCCACAGCTCAACTCGAGATCGGCACAATGGGCCTCGCCACCCGTCCCCGTCTCACGGCCGTCACGGCCGCCGAGCTCCGCCCCGTGGCCGCGGACAGCGGGCCCTTGGCCACGCGCCTCGGCATCGTCACACACACCAAGGACGTCTCGGCGCTGATGGCGAAGCGGAGGTGGTATCACTACCGCCCCGTCGGCCAGTTTGGTATCAATAGCGTTGAGGCGGGCGGGAAGACGAGCAGCAGTGGTAGCAGTGGCGGCGGCAAGGGCGCTAGTCATGGCGTTAATGATGGGTGGGTGTGGAATATCGTGCGCGAGTCGCTGGGTAAGCGCAAGTGAGTAGGGCGAAAGGGTTGGCCAGTTTGCCAAGCGCGTCCCACCATGTATTCGAGACTCTCGAGTCAAGGAGAGAGAAGTGCCGGTCAGGGTGACGGTAGCATTGTACGATTCAAGCAAGACCGAGAGGGGGCGAAAGTGTACATACGCACGTTCTGCTAGTCGTGTACGGCGCTCTCTGCGTTGTCAGATTATCTATCTAGAAGAGGGTGTGCCCCTGAGGGTGGAGGCGTGGATGATCGGAAGCCCACGCGGGGATTCCGGTATTCATCACGAGTGGCAAAACATCACGTTCGATATTGATGCCGGGAGACAAACAACATCGATTTGTATACTATCAAACAACAACAAAAAAAGTTACAGGTGATGCCTCACCCCTTCCCTGGCGCAGACGCACTGCCACTAGTCATTCGATTTCGCCACAGTCTAAAAGCTGCTGATCGAGTCAAGGACTTAAGTCGCAATAGGAGAGCTATTTTGGACCCCGTCTAACGGTAACGGTAGGATCGAATCATCGTAGCATGTTCCATAATGTGGTGGAGGGTATTCGTACTTTGCCCATATAAGAGGCGAAAAAAAGAGAGTGCTCTACCTAGGTTGAACCATGTTCCGGGAGGCAATCGCCATCGCACGTTTTTCGACGCTGACAACCTCGGGATGTCCAAGTTGCCTTCCTCGTCCAATACTCTTCCCACTTGCCCCTCCAACTGGGTCCCAAACCAGGGGTTTTTCTCGTGTAGAGTGTGAAAATGTTGGCTTGTTGGTTGTCAGGAAACATGAGGGGAGAGATGTAACCATAACCATGCTGTGAAAGGGTCTAGAACCAACACACTCACAAACCGAGGCTAATAACGAAAACGAGCTGACTCTGCGTCTGCCGGGGCCACAGTTCAGCCCCAAAGCCCCATTTCCAGCCGTCACCACCACCACCACTGGGAAACTCACGGCGAGGAATCCGTTGGCACACCACCATCTCTACAATACGCTGGTTGGCTTTGCTCCTCTCTGCCCTCCCTCTTCGGCCACCTCCGTCCGTCCGTCCGTCCGTCGCCGTCGCCGTCATCCGCCGCCGGAAGACGGCCTCCGCACCTGTTACCTCACCACACCCATTTGTATCCGGGCGCCGAGTAAAAACCCGAAATATACCTATCACTAAACTCCGAAGTCATTCCGTCGTACACAATCTCACACACCCTCCCCCTCTTCTATGTTGGTGCCAGTGGGATGGAAGGTAGGTAGCCAGTACATACGTCGACCGCCCCCCGGGAACCAACAAGTTACCCATATCTCTGGAATTGCCGATGCCTCATTATCGCTGCCTCACCGTGTACTTTACCTGTGAGAAAGAGCAACCTTTCCTTCACTCTTAAAACTCGGCATCCGGCAGTCGCATCTGGTACCATACTGCAAAAATATGTTGAAATTCAAAAGGCGAATGAGGAAGAGCGCATAATGATCAACCCTATCATCCCGATGCAAGTACGTGTGCACTCGGAGACCGGGCTGTCAACGCCCGGGTAAGTCACTAATCTACCCGTAAAGCAAATCGGGACTCAATAGTAGAGATGAAATTGTGTCTTGGAACTCTACCGTACCTTCGAGTGACTTGCCATTATGCTTGTGTCATGTTTTGCAAAGCCCACGAGGGAGGGAAGGAGGGGAGGGGGGGCAACATCGCTTTCAATGTTTAAAGTCCGAAACAACAAGACGCAAGTCAAAGGATGCAAGTACGCATTCCAAAACGACATCACCAAGCTTGACCGTCGGCCACGCCGAGAAACCTCAATCCCAACAAGAAAGTATGAGAGTACGCAGTCAAAAAACATGAGACGGAAAAGACAAAAGCGGGGAAACCCGTGGACTATGAGGATCCTCCCCAGTCTACCTACCTTACAGGAAAAAAAGATGCGATGAAAAATGGAAGCAAGATTCGAGTCTATTGGACCTGCATGTCCCAGATCACAGATGGTATGCATGTGAGATGGACATCCACACATCCTTGGAATGTCCTTCCCCCCCTTCTCTTCATCCAGCCCTTTGCAGTTTGCACACCCCTCTTCTCAGAGGGATTCAAACCCCCCTCACCGCTGCACGCCACGCATGTTCTTGCGTCAACTTTCCCGCGCATTTCACACCTTACATCGGCGATACAGGAACCCGGTCTGGCCGCCGTTGCGCGGCCAAAAGAAAGAGACTACCTTACGGGGTTTGGTACACTAGGTACTCGTAGGCGACCATCGTTGCAAATGTTAGAAAAGACGTGCCAATGCCAAACTCTAATAGCGACCTTATCTCGAAACAACGTCACCCGTGGCCTAGGCAAAGGGGTTGCAACGATACTCGCTCCCACACTCCGTACTGCATACTTGATGTAGGTAGGTATGGCAAGGGCAAATCTCCAACAGCTCCAAACATCTCTTTTGCTTCCCGCCGCTTGCTCCCATCCATCCCATCCATCACTTTGGGAGAGTTCATCGAACCCGACCCGAACGAACCCGGTCCTGGCTGCGAAACGCGAGGCACAGATAACTACATGCCCCTACTCAGTACCTACCCACCCATGCAATGCCAGCGCGGTGCAGACTGCGGTGAACCCAACTCCTTGGCCGATCTGGTACACGTACCCACGCGATGTCTCTCTCCAAGGACTCTTCAAATTTTTGAACTCACCGTCCTCGTTCCCTGTCCCCCGTCATTCGAATGAGTGACGAACATGGACTGTTCTCGACCCTGCCCATCACTTTTTGCGTGTTAAATTTAACCTTTCCTCCTGCGTGTACTCCGTAAAGGAACACACCCCCCGGACCCGTCGCCAAACCCTACACTGCCTTACCTTACCGGCAATCGCTCATTGCTACCAACGGCAAACCACAGCGGCAATCGTCGTCATTGCGAAGCGAAGCAGAAGCAGAAGGGGAAGACGACGAGAAGAAGCTAAATTATGCGGTTTTCGTCAGCGGTGATGTAAGCTTGCGACTCAACCGTCTCACCACATTGAAGTTTCCAAGCGATGCTCTTCCTCTTTTGGGCCCTGGGTCCTGGCTCCTGGCTCAAGGGTCCCCCATTGAATGTCACTGCTCCCCACACTTTCTCTCGCCGATCAAAAGAGGCTCGAAACTACATACCCAGAGCTTTCCGAATATATGCCCCGACATCCGACTCCCGGCTTCCGCGCCGTTGCGTCGCTCTTCTTCTTCATCTCCAGGCTCCGTCTGCGGTGCGGCGTGCTCTACGGGGTACGGGGGAGGCCAACGGAATAGCCGAGGACGACATTGTAAATACTTTTTTCGTGTGGGATAAAACGGGCAGTCGTAAGTACTAGGTAGCTGTTGCTGTATAAGCGAGGTCAGACGTATCACGTAAGTAGGTATACCTACCACCCCGCTGTGTAGCCTCAAAAAAAGACAAAAGAAACGCTTTTGCCGACCGCCGAGACAATATACACTCCGTACCTTGGCTTCACCTTAAAACCTGTCGGTCAGCCCGTTTGCCCCGTCAAGGCTCAACGTTGTTTCCAGTGGAGGTTCCCTTTTTACTCGCCCTCTGATAGCCTAAGGGTGTGTGTGGTGTGTGGGTGTATGAGTGTTGCGTACCCGCGTATAGGGGAAAAAGGTCTTGTTTTTTTTTCTGGAAAGGAAGTTGAGACCATTTGCTTATGCAAAGTGTATTTGGGGGTGGACGTCTTGCTCAACGTGCGGCTGAATGAACCCTGTGAACAAGTCAACATCAGATGCCGTGGCCAATCAACTCGTTCAATCGCGAGACTTTGCGACCGCTTTGGGGACTTCCCGGTAGGAGCTCTCTCGCCTCGGGCACCTCACGTACATACACCACACCCAGATCTACCCATTGTCGACTTCCCGTCTCACCCCCCTTTCAAACGTCTTACTCCTTGCTTGCCAAGCAAACGATACAGCGAATGCCCGTTTCTGCGGGTTGCCTCTCGTTTTGCCCGTGTCTTATTCACTTCACATTGCTGCTAGATGGTTTGAATTTGTATGCGCGCGCAAGGTGGTATCATGTCCGTATTGATCGGTCCAAGTCAATGGAAGCAACGAAACTCTTCTCTCTCTCCTCTTACAGTTACTTTTTTGGGCCTTTCCATGATTGTGATAGTAAGCAAACAGGACTCCTCGTTCGCGTTGCCAGGGTGAGCGCCGTCCGTACGCCGAACCGAATTGGGCCGCGTCGTTGGCTCCGTCATGAGGCAACATGCCAAATATAGTAATACAGTCCAGAAATACAGACCAGGACACCGCTTCGCCAACCTTCCCTCTCTCTCTTTCTTCGCACCGTCCCGAAAAAACAAAAGCCTCTTGGGAGCCCCATTCCCGGCTGGGGGCCATGCTTCCGAAGGGGCATGAGTGACGCCGGCGCCCGACATGGATCTTCCGTTGTGTTCCCCTCCTCCTCATTTTCATCGTAATCGTGTACATGTATTTCGTCGCGAGAATAAACCGTGTATAAGGCGAACGAGGACCGTAGAAAGCGAAAATTCCAAGATATGTACGTGAATCGCTGTAGCTGAAAGGGGCACCTATTCGTCGGTCCAGAGGCGGTTCGCGGAGGCACCCCATAGGCTGGCAAGTGTTGTTATGAACCGGTAAATCGTCGTCGCTATACCAAAGGTGTAAAACATCCCGTAGATGTTGCCGACAAGAAGGTTAGGTAGCTTTGCAAAAATCAATTTGGAAATGGCTCATCGCCGTTTCATCATAGGACCACTGCCATCGTAATCCCAGGCCCGCTTGAGACCGCCTTCGTAGACACTGGCCACGGACTCCTGCCACATCGCCGGCGAGACAAAAGTCTGCACGGGGGCTGCAGAGTATTGTTGCGCCAACTGTTGAGAGGCCACTGGGAGAGTAGCATTGACAGCCTGAATGTCTTGGAGAGACGGGGCTTCGGGTGCACCTGAAGACGGAGAAACACTAAGCGAATTGGACTGGGGAGGCAGCGTCGAAGGCTGTGGTTGGACCTGAGGCGTACCGAAAGACGTGTTCCATTGTCTGTAGACATGTATTAGCGGGTGCCTTCGTTGAAGTATGTGATTGTCGACAACAACTTACTCAAAAATACGTGCGGGATTCCACGCTGGCGCATCCGACAACGACATGGTTTGCTGCATTCCCGGCGCTTGGGAACCTTGACTTGCCATCATGACGAGTGACTGTATAGCAGGCGAGTCACTCTTGGTATCCACAGGTCCGGCAGAAATAGGAGGTGTGATGGGGTGGCTGGTATAACTGACTTGGGAGTGTTGAAGGTTCTGCGTGTCCAACTGGTGGTCCAAGGAAGCAGTGCGTGCCATACCCGGCCTGTAACCCCTTGGAGGACTGGAATGGTTGGATGATTGGGGGCTGCCGTAAGGGAAGCTGGGCTTGAGGACAAAGGGTTTCCTGACATCAGCAGAAAACGCTTCGCGCACCGCGTCGACTTGCTTCTGCAGGTCGGCCATCGGCCAAACCGACATGACCCTTTCGAGCACTCGCATGTGTCTCGTGAAGAACTCTCTCGCATCAGTGTTCAGATCAGGGTCTGGGGAGACGACGGCCACCTGTGTACCATAAAAGTTAGAGAGCCAGTAACGGGGAATCGCAGATCATAACCCACCAGATGGAGTACAATGCAACACAGTCCACAGTAGACGGTGAAGCTGAACCCACGAAGCATACACTGCAGTCCAGGGAATCCGAATGAATTCAAAACAGCCTCCTGGAGCCGGCATAGAGCCTTAGCAGAAGAGTAGCAGATCATCATGTGCTGTTTCCATTGTCCATCTTGCGCGTTCGGGTCCAGGAAATTCAGCTGCGGTCGATGAAGCAGAATCAGGGTTAGATAGTAGTAGGAATGCAGGTTGCCGATGTAAGGTGACGAAAGCCATGGCGGCGAGCCGTCGGGCGGGAAAGTAACCGACAAATCCGCTGGAAGATCATTCAACCAGGCATTCAAGGCCGGGTTGAGCTGCACAAACTCGGGGTCGACGCCCCAATCCTTCGTCTTCTTCTTCTTGAGATGGCCATAGGCCGTGTTCATGCGGCTGACGTTGCGGACAATTCGTGCGAAATAGGTGAAGTTACGGGTGATGTGGTACTCAGAGTCGTCGCCTCCAGGGATTGGGCGTGGGACGCTGAAATCGATGGAATCCAGCTCCACGGCGAGATCAGTACGGCCTAAGGGAATTAGCAAATTCTCACAAAACGTCGAGAAAGACCAAGTGCCAACCTTGGGGAGAACCAATCATGGTTTCGCACACAAAGATAGACTGCCAGATTCGACTCTTCATCTGACAATCCAAGGGAGAAGAGCCACACGGCCTTCCCGCTTGATGATCCGTGTAGTGCTCGTCCAGACCAAGATCCTTACCCATCTGAACGCACTGGACAATCGTCATCCACGAGCGGTAGTAGTAACCGCGCTTTGGTGCTGCCTCCCGAGCTTTCAGGATGAGGAGCAGGGCTTGCAAAGTGCTCAGCCTCGGTACGTCCATGAAAGAGTCGGCGTGCTCTGTCATGGTTGTTAGCCTTTGCCTATCCAGCTGACGAGTGTTTTCATACTTGTTGCCAAAGCGAGCCACTGCTGCCCTTGGGCAGGGTCGTCGGCTAGTCTTCCACCCATGGCGAAAAGAGCTTCGAGAATGAGAGGCGATACGGATTCTCTGTTCGTATTCCACTGGTGATAGAAGACACTTTTGCTGAGAACAGGCACGTAGGGATGCACGTGGCTGAAGAAGAGATCAAAGTAGTGCATGACCGTCTCGTCATCCGGCATTAGTTCAGGTGGGATGCGAATCTTGAGGCCTGGTCCGGTGATAATTGGCGGAAGAGGAGTCTTGTACTCCTCATCCTCAACGGCGGGCTCCTCATCATGCAGAAAAGAGGCCTTGTTCCTCAAGTACGGCGCTGTATTACGCGTCAGTAACTCTACTACGTACGGAAAGCTGCGAGAGAGGGCCTACCTGTTCCAGCTTCGTTGACCTTCAGGGAGCCCAGAAGATCAGCAAGATCTGATTGCTGGTAGGAACCGTCATTGGAGTAGGTGTCGGGAGGGGAATCTGGGCGTTGACTCTGCTGGAGAGGCGGCGTTGGAAATACGTTGTGACCGGTGTAAGGCTGCTCCATCATAGAGGAAGAAGGAGAAACCGTGGTGTAGTGCATGTTATGTTGGTGGACCTGCTGGTCGGAGTAGTGGACGGGTGGAAAGACGTTGGGATCTGAATATGCGCCCTGTGCAGCATACATCGAAGGGTTGGGCTTCTGGGCCCCTGCCATCATGGACTGTTGCTGCATAGGAACTTGCTGGCGGAAGCTGTTCTGCAGTTGCGATGAGGCGGCAGCGAACTCATCCCCGACGGGCTCATAGGCGTCGGTCGAGG